AACCCAAGCGTGGGGTTTGCCGCGAACCCAGCTCCTGGGTTCGTCTCCGAACGGAAGATGAGGGGATTTTCGATTTAGGGAGAAAGAAAATGAGGAAGAATACGGTAAGTATTTTCGATTTGTTTCTTTGATTGGATATTTTTGGTTTGTTTCTCTGATTGGATGAGGATTTTCAATTTGTTTCTCTGATTGTCTGATTGGATGAGGAAGAAGAAACAACAGTGCCTGTGATGTTATAAATCGGTGCTTTATATAGTAGTTTTTTCATAAATAAAAGGAAGTGTGAGGATAAAATGGGAAGGTCATGTCAATTTCATTAATTTAGAAGTGAGAAGCTCCCACGGAAGTAAGAAATGGGAGCTTCCGGGCTTTACAAAGGAAAGGCGAGAAGCTGAGCTTCTCAAAAGCTACAGCAAATTTGGGAAGTTGACCCGTTTGGTGCAGCTTGTGCTTTTAGAGCCAAAAAGCTCTTCTCACAATCTGCACCAAACATGCTCTAAGTTTCTTTCACTTAGATTAACAAGTTATTGGTTTCACTCTCTAAATTAAGCCAAAGAAAGAAGGCTTGGATTTTCTATTGGCTACTTGTTTGCATGACCTTTTTCCTAACTTGGCGTTAATATGACAATTTCATACAAGCTTACATGCAAGTAGTTAAAAGAAAAGGAACATGTGTACGAATTCTCAACAAGTAAATCTTTATGTATGAATTGGAATTGAAATGTTTCAACATGTATGTATACTTGCACCTAATAGTCATCAAATTGAGTACATCAATATTGAAAAAAGCTAGGAGTAGAAAATTTAGTGCTGTAAATTTTCAAATAAAAAAATACAATTATGGATAAAAACAAGATGGCTCTAGTCTAAGTTGCATCATCAAAAGTAAATTTTTTTTGCATCTTCCTCCTCCAATGCTTGCCAGCAATACAAACACTATCCCTACCTGTGCCACAGCTAGCACCACCTCAATCCAATACCAAGCTTCCACGTATAGCCTATCTATTCCCTCATTGCAGCCCATCCACCGCGGGCCAACCCCTTTTTTGGCACACTTCAACTGCTCCTTACAACCACTCTCCCTCATGAGCCTTTCTCCACGCCCTTCCCTAACCTCTACCCTCCCCCTTACTTACTCCTTTTCTCTCGCTATGCTATTAGAAGAACATATTCATCACTTTTGCAACCTTAAGATCATAACAGTCTTTGCCTGTGTTTGCATGTGTGCCCAATAGTGACAGAGCCACTTGTAAACCAAGGGGCTGGTGACCCTTTGGGATTTAAAAAAAAAAAAAATATATATATATATATATATATACACTCATTTAATTTATTAATTACCATCATTGCATTTTAAAAAAATTCATATTTTAATTGTTAAAAATAATAATAATAAGTTGAAGAAGAGCCCAACATATCAAAATAGTGGGCTATGCTACCCCATTTCATTGGGAGCCCAAATGTGATGCATTTCAAATATACTTATTTTTCATAAAGCAAAATCACTATAAAAATAATTTCTTAAACAAAATTGTTTAATTCTTTGATAGACTCTGTCTATCTTTGTATGGCATATACTCTATTTCTTCCCTTAATATTTGATAGTTCAACTTCCAAAAAAAAAAAAAAAAAAGATTAGTTACTACTTTTTTATTGCTTTTAACTCTATTATCTGCTAAAAAGTCCTTCCTCTCTTGTTTCAAAGAAGTATTGTTGTTATTGAAAAAACCACAATTAGCAAGGAGTAGATACTTTTCCTCTTGGACGCTGGATTGCAAATTGGACTTCATATAAATTGTAAATTTCATTTGTTCTAAAGTTTTCTCTTCTTAGTGGGTATGTCAAAGGAAACAATAAAAATTATTATAATCATTGATTAATAGAGTTTGTTGACTTGTTGTTGTCACAAAAAATTGTGTATTTTTCTTTTAGGGTTTACAGTTGTTGAGATTATCACATAAAATTGGAGATTAGTTAATCCTAATCATTGCAATTATAAATTAGAATTAACCAGTTTAAGGTGTTTGAGTGCTTAACAATTATTTTTCTTTAAGGATAAATTTTATTTCTCACTTAATAGTTGATAGAATTAAGAATTAGGTTCATAATAATATGGTTCTATATGAAACCAAAGGAACCAAAAAATCTTTAAAATAGAGGAAGATGGATTAGAAAAGGTACATGAACTTGTTAAATATAGGACATTTTATTGGTTAAAAGCAAATTGCAAACCCGATTTAGAATTGAAAGATTACAAGGAATCTCCGTTGAGGGATCTAAAAAGAAATTGATGGTGGACCAATGACTTTAGACTGTGTTTTGTATATAAGTCTAAAAGATGTCTAAACCTATAAAAAGGTTGGGGTATCCCTTGTACCCTTTATAGAATAAAAATTTCTTTACCAAATGAAAAAAAAAAAAAGAAAAGAAAAAGAGAAGATAAAGTTAATAATTAGGAACATTTCTTTTTGGCATTTATATTATTTTAATGAATAAAAGATTAGGCATCTTTTGAGTGATATTATCTTTTTTGTTTAATATGTTAATCCTGTTTATTTTTTTGTTTCTCTTTTGTTAGGATCGTATCAATGGAAAAGAAAGGAACAATGAATCTTGTTTTAAGAGAAAAAGAGAAGATCCAAAAGAAAATGAAGGGGCATAAAAAGAAATACTTGAGGATCAACAATAAACTTCAAAAGTCATTTCCAAAGAGCTTACACTAGTCATTTCCAACGTGCCTACACAAGAAAAAGATTTGAAAGTCAATGTAAATGATATTCTTATTAAGACTGATCTAGGAAAATGAAAGTAAATATATAAATATTCCTCAAAAGAGTAAGATCGAATTCGAAGAATTTATATTATTGTCAATGCATATCCACTAAAATAAGATGAATATAAAAAATCTAGACCTATAGGCCATCAACATAGCTTTATGCCTTCATGGTTTTTTAATTGGAATGTTTTCACCATAGTCGAAATATTCTCTTGAGAAAAATATAGCTTTTTGTCTCTATTGTTTTCTCTTTTAAAATTTAAGAGGAAACTCTAAAGGTGGTGGCAGACATGACACATTTTTTGTGGTAAGATTTTCAAAATGGAAGAAAGTAAAAGATGGGAAAAGATGTGCTTTCTTAAAACATATGGGACATGATCCCAACTCTTCTCATAAAATCAATGAATAGGCTTGTCAAGATTTGATGAAGCAATCATTGAACATTTGTTTCATAAGAAGACAGAAAAAGAAGTTTAGACAATTAGCTATGACTTAGAGCTTCAATTCACACAATGAAATGGCTTGCAAATCAAGGTTGTGCTTTTACAAGTCATGATGAAAGCAGTAACTTAAGCAATGTGGGAATTTTTTTAAATTGTTGAAATTATTGTCATTTTACAATGAAAATGTTAAACTTGTCACAAAGAATGCTCCTCAAAATGCTTTGTATGCTTCATCAAAAACTTGAAAGGAGATTTTATAAGTTTGGCAAATAAAGTGAAACAAAGTATAAGCTTGCCAAGAAATAGGTGATGCTTTGTATTATTGTTGATGTAGTAAAAGATGATGAGTCAAAGGAGTGGAATTTTCATCTTTTAAATCTACCTTGATCCCAATTTTGGGATACAAAATGAAAGAAATAATAGTTCAAACTCTTAATAGTATTCTTTAGAGGGATACAGATGTAGTCGTTGATTATACTATCACAAAAGTTGAAAGTTGATCTTTGTTGTTAGAGAATCTCTGTGACATAATGCATGAGATATCCCACAAGAAATTTTTTAATATCACAGAAGTTGAAATTAAAAACATCTTGAGTAGAATAAAAGCTCTTCAGGGATTTAAATTGGATGTTAGTTGGCTTAAAAGGAGGTCTGAAGATATTTTGAATGCAAAAAAGGTCATCTAGGTTTATGGAAGTTTAAAGGAGGAGAAAGTTAAAAAATGTCCATTTATTCAACTATCAAAAAGGTCATTGAAATGGTACAAGTCTAGGATACTAAAGTTTGAGGACAATATACAAGAATATAAAACCAAAATATTAAAATGTGAATGTGCGATGTAGAAAATAAGCAACAAGCTATTTTTGAGTAGGAAAAACTGGAGGGTACGTAAGCTGACTCAAGAAGGATCAAAGAGAGAATTGGTAATACACATACCACAATTGAACTTGTAATATCCCAAAATTTTGTGATATTTTAGCACCTAATTAAGGACTTGATTATGAAGAAATGTTGTTTTGGGACTTAATAGAAAAATTTTTTTTAATTTCAAGGGGCTTAAAAGTGAAAGATCGGAGGATTTTTCTTCTTCCCAGCCTTGCGCGTTTCTGCTCTTCTTCTCCCCTGCAGCTCCCGAAAGCCCCCAAGCTGCCGACTTCCATACTTGAAAGAAAAACCCGGTAGAAAGCTTGAAATTTCTCCTTCTTTCTTGCTCAATAACAAGTTTTAGGACTTAGAACTCTCTCTCTCAACCCAGAAATTTCAGATCTACTCGGTGTCTCTTCCTCTCTTGTCCGTCGGTTTCTGCTGGGTGTGAATCCTTCGGCTTTTTCTGGTAAGCCACAGCCAAGAAATCATCTCCTTAGCCTTGTTTTAACTTGGGTTACTCTAATTTTTGGTTGTGGTTCTTGAATTTTGGGTAGTTCCCGTGAGTTTCCCTCCAGGATCCCGTCGGCTTCCTCACCAGCCAAGCTCGGTTTCTGCTGGGAAAATTCTGGTATATTGACAGCTTCCCTTAAGTCCAATTTCACCCATTTAATTGCTGAAATCATCCATGTAATTGCTGCCCCTGTACTGTTCAAATTTCTGCCGAAATAGGGGAAGAAATTAGCAGCCTTTAAACGTGTTTTTTTTAGGCTTAGTTCATGTAGAAATAAACCTGTTTTGGCTTGAAATTTAGCTGCTGTTCTGCGTGAAAATCCTGCTGTTTTGCCAAAGATTTTACTGTTCACGCGCACCAGTTACTGTTCACGCAGAAAATTCTGCAATTTGCTACTGTTTTCTGCTCCTTTTCAGTCCGTTTCTGCTCTGAAAAATCTGATGAAATATCCATTTTTCTGGTCTTTTAGCTGGCTGTAGTTGAATTCTGGAAATATCAGTTACTGTTTACATGTACTGTTCACGGGGGCACTGTTCACGCACTGTTCACAAATACTGTTCACGCACTAATGGCCAACAATTAACGGGGATTTAAATGTTTAATTTGTAATATAAGAGCGAATTTGGAGATGTCTGGTAATGTAGAGATTGATAGAAATAGCATTGTGATTATGGGTGATCCTAATGAAGTTTTCACTTTGAATTTGTGGTAGTGCGTATTAATTTTGAGGTTTTTTGATTAAGTTCCTGATCGTTCTGTCAGTTTAGCACTGAGATCGAATCTTCGGTTTTATGCGAGTGAGGTAAGTAAATTTATGATAATGCCTGTATAGTTTTTAAAAGCATGTTTTGACTTGTTTTTGAAGTGGTGGTAGGACTAAACCTGTTTTATGCAAAAGTAAGTATGACTGATTTGAAGTGAAATTTTTATGCTTTTTATTAAATTGAGCCTGCCTACTTGAAATTTAATTGTTTGTTCTGATGATTTAAAAGTGATTGGTGAATTATGATTTTTCTGTTAACTTCTACTTGTTTTGTCTCCGATATAGTCATGTTATTAGTGACCCTGCTAGTGGGGGTTAAACGCTAGCACATGTTGATATGTTATTGATAGAGTCGGTTCGTTCGAGTGACCCTGCTAGTGGAGATTATACAACAGCAAATAGTGTAGCTTGCCAATGGGAGGTTTATAACACTGGCTATGACCTATAGAGAAGACGTCTATTTTATTTCTGCACTATAACCATTTTTCGTGATTACACTTGTTGGCATGCTATAAGTTCAATATGGTGCACTCCATATTTTACTTACTGAGTTTATCTCATAGTTTTTCCTTGTCCATCATTTCAGGAAGCGAAACTGAGGATGGGGAAACCACGAGAAGTGACGAGTTAGGAGGTTAGCCATTTCGAGATTGATATAGATTTTAAAAATATATCATACTTTTGTAAGATAGATTTTATCTTGAATTTATGAGATCAAAACAGATTTCGATCATTAGATCAATTACCTGGATGTAAGTCATTTTGGATATAGAAATAAATTGAAATGTTTGATTTAAGTTATTGGATTGTCAGATGTGATATGATTAAGTTTTGAGCCTTGTGAATTTGTGAGACCCGTCTCACGAGTGCATGGCGTCTGTCGCGTCCCCGGATTTAGGTTCTGGGGCGTGACAGAACTCTTTACTTATTACTTAGTGATTTAGAATCTACACTGATCTTTTTTAGTATGTCTCCTATATGCTAGCAGATGATGATAACATAAGGAGAATATGCCACTCTCAAGAGTTGTCTATTTGTTAAAAAAATCAATATTGTATCCCTTAAGTATAACTCAAGGTTAGATTATTTTCCATCTCTTCTATGAAAGAATAGCTTGCTTTTTAGACAATTGGCTTTAGACTGTGCATAAGATATTTAGCTTCTAAGTCCAGGATGTATTTGTAATGCACGAATCCTACATCGATAAGGGCTTGTGAGTGAATTTGATATATAAGTGTGAAAACTAGCCATTATTAATAACTTGAGCTTGAGCTCTTAAAGGCTTATGGACCTTGTCTCAAAAAGTTGTTAAGTTAGTAACAAGCTTTGGCTAGAGTTATTTTAGTTGGTATCAAATTGGTTACCTTTCGTAAGTGTGTACTTATGCTAACTAGGGGTGTTCATATCCAATCCAATCCGATTGATCCGACCTAAACTGAACCAATCCGATTAAAAACCAAACCAAACCGATATAAAATTGAGTTGGTTTGGATTATAAAAATTTAAAACCGATATAATTGGTTTGGTTTGTGGTTTTATTTTCAAACTGCCCAAACCGCCCGATTATAAAAAAAATCTGATTATAA